TGTGTGTGTGTGTGTGTGTGTGTGTGTGTGTGTGTGTGTGTGTGTGTGTGTGTGTGTGTGTGTGTGTGTGTGTGTGTGTGTGTCCCTCCCCGTACCCTTCGTGATGAAGGCCCTTGTGGGGTAGGTCCAAAGATGTTGGACCTACCCCGTCAGGGGTAGGTCCTTCATCCGAACCTAGCGAGTTTTGTTGGCTAACACACACTGTATACTTATTGTATATATTTGTTATGTTTTATTGTTCGTTATTTAGTTATTTATTTGATTATTAATAATGTATTTATTTATTTGTTAATTTATTTATTTTCTTCTTTATTTATTTATTTATTTATTTATTTTATATATATTTTTTTAAAATAAACTATTAAATACATACTTAATTATTTATTTATGTTTATCTTTATTTAATTTATTTTGTGCGTGCGTGTGTGTGTGCTTGTGTGTGTGTGTGTGTGTCTGTCCTCGTATCCTATGTGATGCAGTTCCTGTTGGGCTAAGTCCAAGGATGTTGGTCCTACGCCAGTGGGGGTAGGTCCTTCATCCGCAATTTGCCAGCAGTGTTGGTTTCCTACGTAGGGTATGTTTTGAACAGGCACAGGGTTCATAATGTTACTCATTAGTTTTAGTTTTTTAATAGCAGTAATTATTGCTGGGGATTTAGATTTTTTAAGAGTTGAAGCACCAACTGGGGGTTACATCGAAATGGTTGGTAGTTCCTGGGGTTGTTTAGGACTTTGTTTATGATTCCAAGTAGTCTGTGTTTTCTGAATCCGTTCTTCTGAAGAGTTTAACCAGCATGATTTCTTTTGCAGCGTGTTCTGGTTCCATCTCAATGGTCATTATTGTGATGATCTGGGGTATGAGCAGGTTTAGTGATTGTTGGAGGGGTCTGTTAGAGTTGGCTTGGATGAAGTGTGTGATGAAAAAGCCCAGTTCTCTTCTTTTGTCGTATTTGTTTGTGATGTATTGGCCAGTTTCTTGATTTGTGATCGTTATTGTGGTATTAAGAAAATTGGCTTGTGTTCCGATAAGCTTTTCATTTATCTGTGCTTTTCTCGTGGTCTGTTCATTTAATGTCATGAGGTGTAAGGGGTACAGGAAATACTTGCTGCGTGGGCTGGTGACTTCAGGATTGAGGAATTCATCAATCCTGGGGTTATTTAAAATATGAAAATCATCGAAGTAGTGGAAAACATGCTGGAACAGGTGTAGCAGGTTTTTGTTGTTTTTATGTGTCATTTTTTTCATAAAAATGTATTCGTATTTGAAGAAATAAATGTTGCACCATACCGGTGAGCAACTAACAGCCATGGGGATTCCAAGTATCTGTCTCCAAATGTTTCCTCCTAGGGATGTGTATGCATTGTTGATAAGCCAGTTGTTAATCTCCTGTACAATGTTCTCAGTGAGGGTAAGGAATCCGATAGGTAGGATTGTATACCATTCGCAGAGCGGTGTCCATTTACCTTTTCTTTGGTACATTCTGCAGGCTAACTGCACATTTCTTCCGAATGTTTTCCTTGCGTGTTTAAAGGCAAGTTTGCAGAAGAATCGTATTGCAGCTGAGAGCCCGTCTTGACTCTCACCAGTGGGGATTGTTTCGTAGCATCTAGTTATATTCGCGGAGAAGACAAAGAAGACTTGCTGGGGAAGATTGTACGTGTAGTCTGGAGTTGAGTCTATTGGCCACCAGAAAGGGACTTGGAGTCCAGTTTCCATATACGTCCTTTGCGTTAGTGTGCCACAGTGAGATTTTACCATTTGAATTAGGGCAGCAAGTACAAAAGCAGTCAGGTCAGCCATGGGTGTGGTAATGACATCTGCTGCATTAGTTAACCAACGGAAAGAGTTTTTGCGTTTCTTGTACGTAGCAAAAAGGTAGGGTATCTCCATTTTTCCTATGGGGATGTCTGGGAATCTTATTTCAATTTCCACTTTCATGCTATCCAGTAGTTCGAGGGCAGATATCGTATGTTGTTCAAAGTCCGGTCCGGTGAGCCTTTGCAATGCTAGGAATCTAACCAGGTTGATGCAGGAAATAACAGGGGTATTGGGGGCTTTGTCAGCCCCGGAAATATAAAAGTGTTTGGTGAGGATGTTAACTTCATTTTTTATTGCGTGATCGTGTAGGCTTGTTACTCGGTGTGCTGTTACATTTTCGAGAAGGTCATACATTATTCTGAAAAACTCTTCTTTTGCCTGTCTTTCTTGTAGAGTGCTTAGGGGTGTGCCATTTTTTTGGAGGGATAGTGTGAGTTCTGTCCATACTTGTTCTGCTGCGTACACCGCATCATCTTTGTTTAGGGGGGCATGTGGAATGTGGTTGAGTCCTTTTTTCATCATGTTCCGTAGCTCAACGTTGTTGCAGATGTTGAGATTTAGTGTAGTGACGTGATGTGGTTTTCCTCGGGGAAGCATGTCGACTGGTAAGATGTTTAAAAATTATTTATATCTTTGTTGTTGGCAGTAACATTTTTCAGGAAATTGTTCTATCCATGTAGATAGCTCAAAATCTCGAAAGACGGCAACTGGTTTGTAGAGCGCCTTGCTTATGTGATCGTTGTATGTCCACGAGAACGTGAATTTCTCTAGTATGTCAACATCATCTTGGTTATAGTTGAGTAATAGTTTTTTAAGAATATTTTTTAATTTTATTCGGTCCATCAATTGATTTGTGTAGTGGCAGGAAATAATCTGTTTGTCTGATTCTTTTTCTGATCTCCATCCGAGTCTTCCGTCTTCCATTGTCTGGAGCCGATGTTCCTGCACATTACAAACATATTGAGGTAGCGTAGACCGTATATTTGCAATTATTAGTTACTTGAGCCGGGCTGAAAAAATAAAAAATTAAATAAGCAAAATAAGAAATTAATAAAAAAATAAAAAACATGTCTTTTTGCTTTCATTGAATTTTCAGATGTGGGTGGTGGGGTGACACGAACTTCATACGTCCATACGCGAAAAGAGGGGTTGAGAGAATGTGTGTAAGTACGCGCGCTGCAAGCTTGTTATAGGTGTTGAATCCAAGTATTGATTTCGGGATACTCAGTTGACGTCATCAACTTTTTTGGCAGAGATGAGGCCGAGGATCCTTCACAAAAAACTTCCCGGATTATCACCGGCGGCATTAGCCGGTTTGGATTACTGTTATGTATAAGAAGATAAGATACTTATCATTCCCCTGTCTATAGGAGAGAGCAGCTAGGGATTGATTCCGGAATACTCACTCGAAGACAGTTCTAGGTTTGAATGCTAATAAATAATTTAGTTGCGAAATAACTTAATTATTGTATATCTGCCTAAACGTATTAATCCTGTTATGGCTAATTTTTTCCTAGTTTAGCTGTTCAACCTGTTTGTACTATCCATAGAAGAACGACCCATGCAGTCTGCTCAATCAGCCCTAGCTTCGCGATCTGTTACGGTGTCATGTCAGTCTAGCTTCTAGCGATACTAGGAAAGTTGGATTGGTAGTCCGGGCTAAGTCTCCGACAAACTCTCTTCCAGGACCCATCCGATGTTTGCAACTCGTTGTTCTGAGCCGTGCTACCGCTATAAGTTCGGAGCAGRGAAGAATCTGCGCTRCTGGCCCCATAGTTCGTTCTCAAGGYGTCTATGGYAGAGATTGGGCGGATYGGGGTGTCAGGGGRCGGTGAGCTAATCATGATGGSGARCTGCCTTCTTTCTCCGTCGTTGATGTCGCAGCTGCTSWCTTGGATCACCTCATTGTTAGCAGTATCTTGYTGTTCCAAGGATGACATTGTCGCAACACTGCCCCTCAGTGCCCATTGCGCCAAGACGAGGTCTGCGCGTGGTGACCATTCCTGGTTCATTCTTGCGAGAGCTGGAGAACTGGTCTGAGCATGAACCGTCGTTGTTCCGGAGGCTTCCTGGGCTGGTGGCTGTTGGGGAGGAGTGGGTAGCGGCTGTCGCTGCTGTTGTGCCGTGAAGACATCCTGGATCTCTGGTTGTCTTGCATCATATAGCGTCTTCTTCCTTCTATTCTGCTTTCTGCTTGGCGTACCTGCCTGTGCTGTCTGGATTCTCTGCGTTTTGTTTCCTCTTCTGCGATTCCTTTTTACTTCTGCTGGTAGTGGGTTCATGGCAATACTGAGAAGCAATTCTCGTCGGCGCGCCTGCCTTTCGTTGTCAGTGCATGCTGTGGTGTTGCTGTTGTTCATGTAAGTGTTAAGTTGTGGTGGGAGTGACGTTGCAAACTCGGACTGAGTGCGAGCTACAGGAAGTGTAGCGTGTGGTGCAGTTGGGTTATCCATGAGTACCGTGCAGTTGTGTCCTGTTGCGTTTGCCTGCCCTGCTGTGGGTGGTATGATAGTGGGGGTGTTTGTGACGGTGGCGATGTCAGTACGTGTTGTGTTGACCTGACGAGTGGCTAGCTGTGCAGTTGAGTTATCCATGAGTACCGTGTAGCTGTGTCCTGTTGCGTTTGCCTGTCCTGCTGTGGGTGGTGTGATAGCGGGAGTGTTTGTGACGGTGGCGATGCCAGTACGTGTTGTGTTGATCTGTCGAGTGGCCATCTGTGCAGCAGCATTGGCAAGGGTGTTACCGAATGTCTGTCCTTGAGGTAAGCCAACCGTTGTTGGCCTGTTCGTGGTTCCTGTGCTAGCAGGTGGAGCATGCCTTTGGGGTGTGAGTGTAGTACTGCGGTTCGCATTGGGGAATGTGTTAATTCCAATGTTATTTGGTCTATGGAGGCCGGGACTCGGCGTGATATTTAAGTCTGCGGGTGCTGTGCTGCGATTTGGTGCGGCGACATGTGAGCCATGCAGTGGTGTAGTATGTGTTGCAGTTGCGGGCATGCTTGCTGCAATTGGCGTTCTTGCGGGGTTAGTTTGTCCGGGTGTGTTGCAGGTAGCAGCCATGCTACCTGGTGTGCTGTAAGATGGCGCTGTGTGCGTGCTGCCTGTGTGTGTACGTTGAATTGGGGTATTAGTGGTCATTTGGGCTGGTGTGGAGAGCGACGCGATTGAGCTGGGAGTGTTTCCGAGCCTCATCTGTCTACATCTTCTGAGCGAATTGTCCTCGACACCTGCATTGCGCCGTGCGTCTGCAGACTGCGCTATTAACCCTTCGGCGCAGGGGATCAACGCAGCGGTGAACTTGTGTACAAATGGCACGTATCTGAAGTCCTCGTACTCCAGTATCTCTTCAGCAGAGATTCGTCTGTTCTGTGTAAGAAGGCTCACGATCTTGATCATGTACTCTCTCATAAAGATGAAAGAGATTTGCGCAAGAATGACCTTTCTCCATGTTGTGCGAAGGAGTGTTTGGAATTCAAGCATCCTGATCTTATCTGTTGGAGCACGCGGGTCAATCTTGTCTAGGTTGCCGATGATGTACCAAATCATGTGGTCGAACCATGTGAAGTTCTTCTCACAGCTGGTGCAAGTACACTTCAGATATGGTCTTCCTGCGTTCCAGAGCTTCTGGAGTTCAGAAAGATCTGCAGGAAACTTCGGGATGCCTTTTTGATGAAGGAGTGGTCTATTTGCATACTTGCCCTTCCCAAGTTCGGCAATCGGTGGAAACTCTGCATCGAAGCCACCTCTGGTTGTTGGGAAATAGATAGTACCGTTCCTAGCAGCACTGCGGCAATTCTCTACCTCTGTGTCCGTGATTGCAGCGAGAGCCATATATGCCTCTACGCTGATAGGTGCTGTGTAGTTGAATGTGTCAAACTTCCATAGACGGTTATGGACACGCTGCACAACCTTTTGTGTCCAGCTACCAGATGCGAGAGGTAAGAAGGGGCTATTCTTAGAGAACTTATGCATTGCGTCTCTTGTGAGCGGTGTGAGTTCCGTATGTGCATTGCTCATTCTCTCGGCCTCCTTTTTCCTGAAGTATTCCAGCTCGGCTTGCGAGAGTGACATACGGTTGATGTATGTCTCGCTGAACGTTTCATTCCTCTCAGAGATGGAGACCTGGCCTGCGGTGTCAAGATGAGATGAATCGTATCGGTGAAGCTCGAGGATGATCTTCTCGGCCTTGGCTATGATAAGGCTAAGCTCTCTATTTTCGATGGCCGCCTTTCTGCAGGATTCAACAATGTTGCTAGCGAAGTCTTGTATTTTTGCGTCTAGCTCCTATGGTTTGCATTGCATGACGTGTACAAGAGAGGCCCAATCACTGAAGGAGAGATTCTCGATCAGGAATGGCGGTCGTCCCATCGTTGCTTCATATACCTGCAGTAAGACATCTGCAGGGATCGCAAGCATTGTGATCTGGCAGTGGACTACGGGCGGCCGTAGTGCAGAGAAGGGCCTGATGGCAGCAACAAGCTCCGGGTGCCATCCCATGAGGATGCTGTCTTCATCCTGCACTCCTGTCGTTATGCAATCAAAGTTAGTTAGATGGTGGTATATTTTATGATAATACTGTATTCCTTTGTTTGCAGATCAGGATAGACAGACGTATAGGTATCTTCGAGAATTAATTCTGTATATATATTTTTGCACAAACTATTGGTATCAGAGTTTTGTTGAATTGATCCGAGCAGAGAGAGGGCGAAGACGTATCTGTCTGCAGTGTGTGTTTTGGGAGGTAATATGATGCATATGAAAGTGTAAGGTAGGGGGGTTGTTTAGGAGGTGGTATTACCATACGGGTTCCGGATCTCATTGCCAAGGTGAAGTTTCGGTTGTGATAAACGAGTTAGTTGCGAGGTGGTATAATCATGTCTGCTAATTTTTTCAGTAGGTAATGCAGGTTATCAGCGCAGTTTACTATGTCTTGAGAATTTTGAGCTTCGTTGTGTTTGTTTAGGCATGTGGTGAGTTATGGACGAATATTTTTCTGAATAGCCCTTTTAAGTTTTGCATATTTTTCTGGGCGGTCGTTCTATTTGATGTATGTGTGAGCAGTGGACAAGGTGTGTAAGGTTATTATATGTTTGCGTATTATTGGGGCTGTGTTCTGTTGCACCAGGAATGTGTATTTTTTCAGAACGCCGGATATGTTTCATATTATATTTCTGAGGGGATTTACGGATTTATGTTTTTAGGAAACATATTTTTTATTTTATTATTTATTATTTTATTTTTATTTTATTTTACTTTAATTTGTAATTTTATTTTTATCCGTTATTTTCATCCGTAATAGAACGCATAGTTGTTATTCTTTATTTGAAAGAGCAGCGATCGATATTATCAAACCGGGAAGCGGGCCCAGCGTCCCTCACAAGGTTCGTCACAGCACGAAGGCTGAGCAAGGCTCTCCGGCTAAGTGAAGCCCAGGTCATGACGACACCAGAAAGAAAACAACTTCTTCTATTCATCTTCCGATCTTACAACTTAAACTATACATCAAAACCTCGCAATTACGGTAAAAATTTTCCCTATTAACAAATCGGTAATACCAATTACACCTAATGCCAAGTTGACTGTGCATAGTCAACCATCCCATCAGTAGGTATACTAAATTGACGAAACTTTCTCTTTCTCTTTCTCTGCCTCTCTCTCTCTCTCTCTCTCTCTCTCTCTCTCTCTCTCT